GGGGGGCACTGGCTGTGAGCTGGCATGATGGCTACAGGCCCGAGCTCACAGGCAGCCCTCTGGAGTTTGACATGTCCCTCCTCGCAGAGGAAAGCAGCTTCAGAATCACCATGCCAGACAATGCCTATGTTCACGAACTCTCACTTGTCATCATCTTATGACATCTGATGACCCCATGAGGGAGCAGCCCAGGATTTGGTTTTGTGTTGAAACTCCTTTATATTAAGGATTAGAAAACATCCACTAGGAAAAGTCCAGGTGGAAGTTGTGGGGTCGTTCTCTTCTTGTCTTTGCCACTGGTCATGTCACAAATGAATCTCTTAGAATATTAGGTTTCTCATCTGTCAATAGAAGATAGAATCGTGGAGTCCTAAAGGGGCATAGGGCGTGTGGTTTTAAACTTGAACCCTAACGTTCTGTCTGTGACATGGCCCTGGTGAGGTAACGGGACATTGGGGAACTGTAAGGAATTGGTGGGAGCCATTTAGGATTCATACATGGGCCACTTCACTTCCCAAAAGGAATCAACCATTGATGCTTGTTGGACTATAATGTTTGAATGCTATAATTCTGTTATGTCTTCAAAATTTAATCTGGAGATAGGACTGATTCTAATCAAATACAGGTAAGATATGCTATCTAGGCCGAGCTCGGTGGCTCAGCCTGTAATCCCAGCACTTTGGGAGGCGGAGGTGAGTGGATTGCCTGAGCCTGCGGGTTTGAGACCAGCCCGGGCAACTTGACGAGACCTCGTCTCTACAATGAAAGAAAAAATAGCCGGGCGTGGTAGTGCACGTCAGTGGTTCCGGCTACTTGGAAGGCTGAGGCAGAAGAATCGCTGGAGCCCAGCAGGTTGACACTGGGTTGGCTGTGAGCGTGCATGCCACTGCACTCCAGCCTGGGTGAAAGAATGAGACTCCAACTAAAAAACACACAAAAAATTATGCTATCTATATCATGGTTTTTTTCCTGATGTAGCTATTTCCGTTTCAGAAAATATAGCTCATGGCTCTGTCGTGAAATGCATAGCAGATACCCTCTGTGATTTGCACTTGTGGCTCTTTGGTTATGACACGCTGGCCTGAAGAAATCTGCATCTGCAAGGATCTTTATTCTTTCTAAAAAGCCCAGAATCTGATCTGTCACTCAAAGAGAGAATGACTGGGATCTTTTTAGTGTTGAGAGTAAAAAACAGATACAGCCGTGAAAAGGGGTTTGTTTTGCAGAGGTTCGTGAACTCCCTACATACGCTGCCGTTTTCCTGGACAGCAGTGACATCTAGCACCATGGCTGCTCTTCCTGGGCCTGTTGGTTTTTTAGTACACCTGCGCTCACCTCTG